TCACTCTTTTGGGAGATTTTCCTCCATCTGCCAACTGTCAAAATTCAATAGGCAGTTTATCTGCTTCCTTTAAAAGAGCCTATCCCCTGAATTCATCACTGTGGACCAGACTTGCTCTTAAGAAGTACCTGAGAGTGTGCAGGATATCTGAGCCCCTGTCTCGGGCACTTAAGATACCTAAAAGTAATTGGGAAGGTTGCTTCTATATTTAGTTCTGGTAGTTTATAAGGAAATTGCTTCATTTTCTAGTTTTAAGGTTTTTTTGTTCCTTCTCCAGTCTTGGCCAAATGGGAGAGGGCATGATGAAAAGTAGGGAATGGGAAGCAGAGTGAGGTGTTCTGTAGACTCTAGCATTAGATGTTTGTTTGAGGCCGGAAGAGATGGTGCTCATGAAGGCTACATCTTCATTTGATGTAAAGTGGCAGAGATTCATAGAGGTTTATGCTTTAAAAGGTTTAGGAAGGTGATTTATAGTAAGACTTTATCTACTTTAGTAGTGCATCTCTGGGAGAGGCCATCTAATGCTCTAGAAGGTGTTAAATCTGCTGTGAATGTTGCTAACTGGGCCAATGAGTGTGAGAGTATTGGGATTTCTGTCCAAAAAATGGTTTCCTAATCTCTTGAGGTAGCTGTGTGTTAAATTGCACTGCAAAAGATTTATGTTTCTTAAGTGAAACATCGTAATTTCTCACAGCTGTTTATCTGTGAATCTCAGTTTTGTTGTATGTTGTTGCTTACGTGCATATTAATTGGGGGTTTTATTGGCCTAAGTGATTCCTGGAGCTGATAGTATTCTTGAATATGTTATCCAGTGTCTATTTGGAGTGATAAGCATGAGACATACAGAGTTGTATTTATTTAAATTATAATACACTGGCACAATTTCAAATTGCTTTATAGGCAAGAGGCTATCTGGATAAGATTTTTGAATGCAAGTGTTTAGGTTACCTCTTGAGCAGGTACTGCTTAATAATGAATCCCATGATGCCGACTTGGGAAGTGAGGTTTCATTTTTAAAAGGGAAAAAAAAAACTTTTTCTTGATGCCAGTCGCACTTTCATTTAATGACTTGGGAATTGTCTGTTAGTTGATTATCCTTATTTTTGCAGGACAAGAACGAGAAATCATAGCAGATGATCTACCTCACCCGTTTGGATTAACCCAATACAGTGACTACATCTACTGGACAGACTGGAATCTACACAGCATAGAAAGAGCAGACAAGACCAGTGGGAAGAACAGGACGCTTATTCAGGGTCATCTGGATTTTGTGATGGATATATTGGTCTTTCATTCTTCTCGTCAGGATGGCTTGAATGATTGTGTGCAAAATAACGGCCACTGTAGTCACTTGTGCCTTGCCATACCAAATGGATTTAGGTGTGGCTGTGCTGCTCATTATACCTTGGATCCCAACAGCAGGAACTGTAGCTGTAAGCCTTTTTGTTTGCTTGTTTTATTCTTTAGTGCTTGTGGCTTCCAGGTGCTTGTGATCCCTTTCAGTATAGAAAGGGAAGGGATATCACAAGTCCATTTCAAAGGCTTCTGCCTGATATTTAAATATGAAGACAGAGTATGGAGTTTTATATCCGTTTTTGTGATGTGGATTAGGGCTGAAGATTTGTATTTCAAATCTTAGAAATAACAGTGCTGTCAAGTCTGGTCTTTCTTGTTTTACCAGAAGTGCTTTCTAGGTGATTCACTGTGTGATTGAAGCTTTCCAAATCCTTACTTAAGTATGTAGGTGGGTGGAAGAAAAATTCTAAACAAAAAGATGTGTTTTTCTCTTAAGTGTTTAAAAAAGTCAGCAAAAAAACATCAAATAAAACAACCTCCTAAGCAGTCCATGCAATGTGCACATGCACTTGAAATTTATATGAGTTTGTTTTCCCCCTGCCTGTGACATTACGAGCCTGCCACTTCACTGGCTGTCCAACAAGTATTTAAGTTTCTAGTAAAAATAGCAGATGAATAGAAAATGGACTGTTGACTTAAAAAAACAGACCAACAAAACTTCAGGCATCCTGGCACAGTAGCATATAAAGAAATCTTCACTAGATGAAAGGAACTGATCTCCTTCAATGACAAGATGACCCACTTAAGAGAACTGTAGACTTTGAAAAGCTGTGAATGTGGTTTACCTGGAATTTAGTAAAGCCTTTGACACCATCTGCCACAGAATTCTTCTGGAGAAACTGGCTGCTCGTGGCTTGGTTGAGTGTACTCTTTGCTGGGTTAAAAACTGGCTGGATGGCCAAGCACAGAGAGTTGTGGTGAATGGAGCTAAATCCAGCTGAGACCAGCCACAAGTGGAGTTCCCCAGGGATCAGTATTGGGGCCAGTCCTGTTTAACATCTTGATCAATGATCTGGATGAGGGGATTGAGTGCTCCCTCAGTAAATTTGCCGACAGCACCAAGTTGGTCAGGAGTGTTGATCTTGTTTGAGAGTAGAAACACCCAAGAGACTGGATAGGCTGGATCAATGGGCTGAGGCCAATTGTATGAGGTCGAGGCCAAGTGTGGGGTTTTGCATTTGGGTCAGAACAACCCCATGCAGCACTTCAGGCTCGGGGAAGAGTGGCTGGAGCTGCCAGGCAGAAAAGGACCTGGGGGTGTTGGTCAACAGCCAGCTGAACATGAGCCAGCAGCGGGTCCAGGTGGCTAGGAAGTCCAATAGGATCCTAGCCTGCATCAGGAATAGTGTGGCCAGCAGGACCAGGGAAGTGATGGTCCCTTTGTACTCAGCACGTGTGAGGCCACACCTCAAATACTGTGTTCAGTTTTGAACCCCTCACTACAAAAAAGACATTGAGATGCTGGAGCTCATCCAAAGAAGGGCAATGAAGCTGGTGAAGGGTCTGGAGAACAAGTCCTGTGAGGAATGGCTGAGGGAACTGGATTTGTTTAGTCTGGAGAAAAGGGGACTCAGGGAAGACCTTATCAGCTACCTCAAAGGAGGCTGCAGCGAGGTGGGTGTCCATCTCCTTTCCCAGGTAACGTGATAGAATGAGAGGAAATGGCCTGAAGTTGCACCAGCGGAGGTTTAGATTGGATACTAGGAAAAATTTCTTCACTGAAAAGGTTATCAGGCATTTGAACAGGCTGCCCAGGGAAGTGGTTGAGTGACCATCCCAGGAGGTATTTAAAAGACATCTAGACGCAGCACTTGGAGACATGGTTTAGTGGTGGACTTGGCAGTGTTAGGTTAACAGCTGGATCCAACTGTCTTAAAGGTCTTCTCCAGCCTAAATGATTCTGTACTTCTGTGATAATATATTGTTCCCTGTCACCGGTGTTACTTAAATTCTACATGGAGAATATAGTTATAATATGAAAAGGAAATACTTTCTGGGTGAGGGTGTACACATTTACTCTCTGGAAGTACACAAAGAAACATTTTCAACTTAAAAGCAGAAGTCTCAAATTATGAATTACCTTAGTTTTCATTGTGAATATAATTGCCTCTCTGGGATTTTGTCCTAAATTTTCTTCGTCTTCTGTGTGGGTGTATTTTTGTGAGAGTCGCATTTTCTCATGCCTTCTCTTTTGGCTCGTTTCAGCTCCTGCCAGCTTCCTGTTGTTTAGCCAGAAATCTGCAATCAACCGGATGATACCAGATGATCAGCAAAGTCCAGATATCATCCTTCCTATGCATGGTCTAAGGAATGTCAAGGCCATTGATTATGATCCCTTAGATAAATTGGTCTACTGGGTGGATGGACGTCAGAATATTATAAAAAGAGCTAAAGATGATGGCACTCAGGCAAGTTTGCATGGTGCATATAGCTTTGTGTTGGTCATTGTGCATGCTTTGTGCTTTATGCTTGACTTTCCCCTTCTGTCCCTTGCACCAGGGAATCATCAGTTTAAACTTTACTCTTGCCAGCACTTATTCATGTGTATTCTCTTTGTATGTGGAAATTACTGAAGATTTTTAGGATTGTGATTTTAATTTATACACAAAGAAGTGTAATAGAATATAGAACATCATATGTATCTGAAACTTGCAAACTTTAGTTAAAGATGGGCACTGAAGTAAGGCAGACTTATTGTTTATACTCAGGACAGATAGATTGTGTTCTAAAATTGTGTGATATTATTGTCATGATTGTAAAGCTCTCTCAAAATGAAACTCTTAGCCATCCAAGCTGTAGTTAAACCCTGAGTGAATGCAGGGTTGATTGCTGTGCCAGATAGGGTTAGACTTATCCACATGCTTAATTGTTTTACTAAGCTGGGGTCATCACTTTTTTGCACTAGTTATTCACACAACAGTGGAAGGAAGTTCTTCCAGGCAGTGTTACTTGTTAACATAGCTTAACTCCTAGGTCAAGATAACATATTCTTTGAGAGGTATGGTTTGAGAAAGGATATAAAACAAAATGGAGAATGGGCAAGTTATATTTTCCTAGTTCTTGTGCAGTTGTATCTAAACAATGTGATGTGGCATCAGTGCAAATGGACTGGTCTCTTTTATTTACAGACTCAGTTTTCACAGTTTCCTTTGAAGGAAAACATGACAATTTTAATTTTTGGCTGTTTCTTCTAAGACTGGGAGGACGTGTTGGCATGAGCAGCTGGTGAAGTTATGGATGAATTTTGAAGACATTTTGCTCTTGATTTTTGGGATTATGCTAGGTGCTAATTGTTGTAGTCTAGCTTCTCTTTGGTACTTGCTAAGTGCAAATTGCAATGGAGATTCATTTGCTCTGAGTTTTCCTCTGCCTTGGTCACACAGCTTTGAAGATGCAGATACCTTGCAAATGTTGACTTTCCAATTTTCACTACCTATATTTACTTAATTTTGCTGAATCTTGCTGTTTTCAGATGATGCATATGAATTCCATGCCTGGGTAATGTTACCTTTGATTTCTGGAAAAGAATGATTTCTTTTTATTTCTAGTCACATTGTCAAGACAAAATAGGGATAAAGCTTTATAGAAAAAGAAAAAACCCTGTATATCACTACGCAGAACTTGGAGGCTTAAAACTAAATTGTGGAACTATTTCACAAGTAATTCTGTGATGGGTAATTCATTTGACTTAGGCTGAGCACATAATGGTGTCTTCAGCTTTCTTGACCCCTGTGAACTTTTTCTGGTGGTGTTTTTATGTTTGCACTGGGAGCACCACATTAGGACACTTAAAGAAGTCACTGCTCTCCCCTCACCACTACCATGTCACCAGAAGCAATCACCTTCGAAGGCTGCTTCCACGTTGGGAGTCTTGCAAGCAATATTACCATCCCAATGACAGTGGGATTGGCTGTACAGTAGTGGAGCCTGTGTAATGTCACACAGACAACAGAAAGATTATTTTCCCTTAGGGATATTTTAATTTGCTCAAGTGCTCTTCACAGAAATAAAGTATTGAAGTATCTGTTAGTATTCAACATAGACTTGAAAAGTTTGTTAAATTGGGAGGGGTTGAGGGTAATGATTCCAGGAACTTGACAATAAGGTCAGGTTCTGTAAGATCCATCATAAAGACATGAGGGTGAAAGCAAAGCAATGTAAGTATGGGTGTGAGGCAGAGCTGTAGTCATTTGGCGTGGAAGCAGACAGAACCAGGTTTCATTAAAAATGTAAGTTTTAAGAGAAGCCAGGTGTTAAGGAAAATCAGTATCTACTACACTACAAATTATAAAGTAAGGAGACTTTGGCAAGAGACAGACATTTCTTCAGCTGACTGTATAACAGTGCAGGTCTGGCCAGAACGTTGCCTTGTCTCTTACATAATTTCATTCAAGATTGTTCCATGCATGAACATTCACTGTTGTTTTCTTTTATCTCCTGCTAATTCATCCTACTAAAGGCCCCACAACTGCTTCCTGGGAAGTTTTGCCTAACCTTACAGATTTTGTCCAGATATTTTTCCTTTAATCCACAGTTCGAATCAAATCTTTTTGTTGTTCTTATATTTGTTGTTTCCTTGGGGGTGGTTTTAGGTATTTCTGGACTATCTGGTAGGTAAACCGTGCTTTCTATGGACTCTGTGTTCTTCAGTCAATAATCAGAATATTTACTGGAAATCATTCCCCATATATTGTCTTGCAGCCTTTCACTGTCATGAGTACTCCAAACCAAAGCCAGAACCCAGAGAAGCAGCCACACGACCTCAGCATTGATATATACAGCCACACCTTGTACTGGACCTGTGAGGCCACAAATTCAGTCAATGTCCACAGGCTGAACGGCGAGTCAATTGGAATGGTGCTGCGAGGGGACCACGACAAGCCCAGAGCCATTGTAGTGAATGCAGAGCGAGGGTGAGATTCCTTCCTGTACATCGTACAGAGCACTCTTGGGATGTATGTCAGCTGTGTATGTGAATCTTGGGTCACATCTGTATACTTTAAAAAGGAGAATTTTTGCGTATTTAATTTTTCAGGGTGTAGGTGACTGCTTGTCCAGTTCTGGCTTTCAAAGGTATCTGGCTTTCTCTTCTCTTTGCTTCATCCTCTGGTGTGCCAGTGATGGACTTAGATGTTCATGCAGCCACGTGATTGGTTATAGTGAGGAACTAACCCAGGTGGGGAAAGCAAAGCAGAACCACCTTCCCCTCTTCGCTGCATGAGTGCACAGCCCCACCACCTAATAGCAAAACCAGGAGAGTCTACACTGTGTTTGTATCAGCTGGGCATCTGGCTCATAAATGTTTACTTGTTGTAAAACATATGTTTCCAGGAAAAAAAAAGGGATATCTCATATGATACAACTATTCCTGCTAATGTAATGATATAAAGTTAAACAAACCAACGCCTTATGTTCTATAAAATTTTAAGTTAGTTCTGCCTCGCTGTGTATCTCAAAAACTTCTGAAATTAATTAAAACAGGTAGCACAGGATGCACTGTAGTGCATCCTTTGCCACAGGAAAATATGTTGTTTTGCTGCAAAGCAGTTTTGGTTACATTCAGCAGACCCTATCTCCATTTCAGATGGTTAGTAGCTTCATTCTTGAAGGTCAAAGATGGTCCTTTACTGTTCTCTTTAATAAGGTAGATCCTTAAATCCCAATTTACTACTAAATGGCTTACCATGTGCTTGACAGGTGTAAAGTGGCAGTATTTTGTAACTATGCATACAGTAGCACCCAGAGACTCTATCTGGAGCCTTTATAGGATTGCTATTTTAAACAATACTCTCTGTACTCTGCACAGTTTAAAAGCTGGTGTGGGAAGAGAAGTATTAGAGGGATGATTCTAATCTTGCTAGTACTAAGTCACTTGGACATAGTTTGTATTCATAAACAATACAGTGTTGTAAACAATGCAGTGATGTAGCCCACTGTATTAGGGAGTTTGCCCATGTTATCCACCACTGAAAAAATGAATTTTTTCCCTGAGGGACTTCTCAGTTCATCGTGTGAGTGTGCAAGCCTTTTTTTCCCTATGAATGGGGAGTGTAGAGACTGCTTCTGTTTGCAACTGAACTGGCCTAGGCAGATACAGAGAACTCATGGAAGGAAGGCGTCAGGAACATGCCATCATCAGTTGTTCTTCCTTGTGTAATCTTTGTTCCTCGCAAGTTTGGTAGGAACTTCTACTTGCTGAGAAGACAGGTAACACAGAAGGAGAGGAAGTGACAGTGTTGTGGTTTAACCCGGCAAACATCCAAACACCATGAAAGTATGCTTGCTCACTCACCCCCTTCCCAGTGGCATGGGGAAGAGAATTGGGAGATCAAAAATAAAAACTCAACTCATCAGTTGAGATAAAGACTATTTAATAACTAAAACAACCCAAACTTAAGTAATAATAATGCCAATTAACTGTAACAAGAATAGGAACAATGATAATATAGCAATTCCAGTTACACTCAGCTCACAAGCAGCAGCCATTGGCCGTACTCCAACAACAATGATGGGAGGGATGAGCCTCAGGAACTGCCACGGGCTGCCATCATAAAGGGTTAGGATCAAAGGGGCTGAACAAGAAGCAGGAAGGGAATGCGAAGGGGTCATCCCCTGCAGGCTCCCCAGTTCGTAGTGAGTGTGGTATTTATGGGATAGAATACAACCCCAGTTCGTAGTGAGTGCGGTATTTATGGGATAGAATACATCTTTATTGGTCAGCTTGGATCAGACCCGGATCATCTTCCTGGGTCACCTATCCCAGAGAGCTCTCACCACTCCCACATTCTCTTGTGCAGTTAGAAGAAAAAAAAACAACCTAAAAAAAACCCTAACCATTTCTCTGGTGCAGTTAGAAGAAAAAAAAAACAACCTAAAAAAAACCCTAACCACAGGTGCAGGCAGAACCTTGAAAAACATAAATATCTGCCAAAGAAATGAAATCAATGACCTTATCAGCTTGATAAGGAAAATAACTTCATTATAGCAATCCGGCTATGCTGAAACATTAAAACAGAATCCTACAATTTAGTCCTAGCAAAACCAGGACAGTGCTGAGGCATTTTATGGCCTGGTGTATTAAGGATAGATGCTACTATTTTCAGGCTATCTCAGTATGCCAGTTAGCAAATGTTTAGGGTTCTGCAGCTGACAGATCTGAATCTTTGCAGCTGGGAGCAACAGTCACTGCAGTCATCCCTGTGTAAACAGTTCCCACTTACAAAATAGAGCCTGTGTGCAAAGGTGAGTTGCCTCCCTTCTGAAGCTCTCAGTTAAGCAGCTGGTGTCTTTGTTCTCAGGTACATGTACTTCACCAACATGCAAGAGCGAGCTCCCAAGATTGAGCGTGCAGCCCTTGATGGCACAGAGAGAGAAGTGCTTTTTACAACTGGGTTGATCCGACCAGTAGCACTGGTGGTTGACAACAAACTTGGAAAGCTTTTCTGGGTGGATGCAGATCTGAAGCGCATTGAAAGCTGTGACTTGTCAGGTATGTGATATGCAGTTAAACATTTGGAGCAGTGTGTGTGTATGTATAGGACATCTTTCCCTCTTTGATGCTGACCCCAGTAATGTCTGTCTCCACTGTTGCCAGTTCTGTGTGGGCAGTCACAGATAACAATTGCTGGTGGGCTCCCATCTTTGATGTGATTGTAATAAACATGTCTGTAATGATTGCCACCTTCCAAGAGAACTCTTTGTCTTTTGATATGTTCTGAAATCAACTTTTGGAAGATCAGATCTAAATAGGTGTTGCCAGTCATGGAACCCCTAAATGTCCTACCCCGTGCCCTTGTTTTTTCCTTATGGTTTGAAAAGTTTGCATAACTTCAATTTTTCCTTCTCTGGAGTTTACAGCTTAGTAAATCAAGGTAGCTTGAAAAAGGGAATGGCTTTCTTCCAAGATGGATGATAAGGCAGCTGATCTGGAATACCTGTGTTGCAAAACAGTGGAAAGATGTCAACTCATTGCAAGTTTCCCATATTAGTAAAATAAAGTGTTATTCCACATCCATAGCAACAGCACCACGTGGATCTTAGAGAGCACTGTTCAGCATTGACTTTTAAAAGCCCTTGGTAGTGCTGAAGCAGTGGAGAAAATGGGCTTACTCATCGGTGAGCAGTATAGCACAGATGATCCAATGGTCTGACTTGTGATTCCTTCTCTCATCATCATCTGTGTATCAAGAAATGAAACTCCTAAAGGAAGTGCAGAGAGACGTGACCTAGTGTGAGGTAGTAGAAGCTGGCCTGGTCTAGTGATTTGCATCTGCCATAAAAGGTTGATTCTCCAATGTTTGGTGGGTCTTCTCTTCATGCCATGTAGTCACATCCTTCCCTTGTGTTGTACTGAGGCAGTGAACTAAAACAGGCAACAGTTGTTCACGTTTTGTCAAGGACAGTTCACTTTTGAGCACCTAAAACTGACTCCTGGTCAGACTCGGGTCTTTTCTGCCGGAGAGGGGATAAATACATGAAACTGGAACTGGGAAGGTAAAGCAGCCCATGTTTTCATCAGTTATCAAGCTGCATAGGGGGTATTGTCACACGGCAAATGTCACAAAATGTCTGGTCCAGAATAGACGTCAGAGAACACAGAAAAATTTGAAAGATAAAAGAAGATAGGAGGAAGAAAGGACTTGGCCTATGAAGCAACCCGTGTTTAAGAAGAGAAGATTGACAGAATGGGACACATAACACAAAATGCATCGGAGATACTGAGAGGATTTTGTCTAGTGATGAAAGGAGAACTGCTGTAGGAAGAAATCCAAAAGTAAAAGGACGAGACAGAAAGCAGCCTATCATGCAGACAGAATGTGGCTGAAGTGGAATCCACAAGCGAGAGAAGAGGCACCAAAGAAGATTATGTGAAAATCATATGGTTTTGGAGAGGGGATGTATATCAGGGAGAAGTCGAATTGGGAAGGGCGAATGGGATAAATAACTAGTGCTGCTGCTGATAAAAAGGTGGCCTCAAAGTAACAGCAAGCCATATTACTTAATGAAGCTGTAGCATACAGTGGACTTAGCTATGCCTTGTATGTACACAAGCATCTTTTTTCCCCTTTAATTTAGTATGCAAGCAAGGTTGAGTCACAGCTAGCAGATGGGGGCAGGTGCTTGTTGCTTGTCACATTACAGGTTGGAAGATGGGCTGTGTCCTTGCATAGCACAGTATGAAATGCAGAGAAGTCTGTTTATTGTTGTTTTACATCTATGTTTTGAATGAATAAGACCTGACAGTAGGACTTAGGTAAACGGCTACAGGAGTAAATCAGCAGCCTAGTCATCATATGCTGGTAGTTGTATCCTGTGATTGCAGCTTTCTTTGTACACTTGCTTCCTTTCTGTGACATTAAAACTCCTTGTAAGCGTATGTTTGCATATCAGATATATATATTTTAATCCAATTCTTTGGATCTTTTTACAGGGAAAACTAAACTTTCTCTGGTTAATACTGAACCATAACTTTTAGTGCACATTTGTTTGATGGGGTCACAGCTAAAGAATCAAACCCTATAGGTAAGAAAAAGCAGGGGAAAGCTACAGGACTAAAAGCAAACAGTGTTTATGAACTAAAGGATATGTGCCATGTAGAAGAAACAAATTAGTCCAACTAATTTGGACTGGCATTTACTCAAGATCAAATGCAATGTAATTACAGTATAGATTAATCACCTTATTCAGTGCCATCTCCAGCAGTTTCCCAAATCTCCAATGTTCAGCTTTTTGCAGGTAACTGAGAAAAAAGATGATGCTTGATGTACACCCCCAAAACCCACTAAATATAGTCTGTTTTAGGCCCGGATTTGGGAGGTTGTTCAGACAGGCTAGGATTCTAGCAGGACTGCTAGCTTGCAAGTGTTACCTGACAACTCATGGTATCCAGGATGCCTTCAGGATATACTTCAAGAAACCAGCTTGCCTTTTATTTCTAAATGGATGAGCAATTTAGCACTTAAAAAAAACCCATGAGGGCAGAAGGATTTTTCATTATATGCAGTTGAAATGAGGCTTTCCTATTCTTGTGGCATCTTGAGTGCAGCTGAAAATTGTGCTTTTGGGTCAAAATGTGAGGCTTAGTCTGACAAAACTACAGTCGTCCTTGAAAATTCAGTGGCACTGAAGTTTATAGGAGCTAAGGCTGCTCAGTTGGTTGCAGGGCAAATGAACGAAGTGCCCTTCACTTTGTGCTCTGTTCACTGAGAAACTTCTTGTTTCCTAGTATTTCTACATTTTAAGACCTATTTAGGAGAAGACAAATAACATGTCAGGAGCTGCAGTGCTAGAGAGTAGTACTAAGGGTCAGGTTTAGTGCCCATTCAGTGAAATCAGTGCAGGAATGTCTGTTCTGTTC